GGGGGGGGGGGGGGGGGGAGTTGGGAGAGGCTTTAATTAGAGCGGCTCTGAGAGCGTGGGGATGCCGATGCATGAGATGCTGGAGTCTGTAGGAGCACGGTAATTACCACTCAGGTAATTGAGCCTGCTCAGATGTGCTGTAATTGAGCGTTGGAGCAGCCTTGCAGCTCGTGTATAGGCACCCTTAGTGTTTGGTCCTGCATAGAATAAAAACAGTGCTTACAGTGTAAGTAGCATTATGCACAAGGGCCTGCTAGGGCCCCCTGCCTCAGTGTCCCTGTATGTAAAATGTGATGCTAAGCCCCTTTGCACAGTGCTTTAGCAGCTTTGGATTGGAAAGTACTTTAAGAGAAAAGTCTTGTTAGATGGATTGACCAACTCAAGACCCACGTAAAAGTCAGGACCAGGAGTCTGTGCACGCTGTCCCAGCCCTATCTGAGACCTAGCAAGGCTGAGAATACTGGCTTACAGGGAACAAAATGCAACATTATCATGGGATACTAGCTCAGCTTTCAGATTTTCTGTTGGCTGATCATGGGAAAGAGCAGAACCTTGCTGGTAATTTCAGCTCCTGCGTTCCTTGTACACCCAAATCCCCCATTCACTTCTGCAGGGAGCTTTGGGCACAGCAGGGGGTCAGGATTTGCTCTTACAGGACCTTTGCAAAGAAGACACAGAGAACCATGTTTGGAGGCAAAGGGAGATGTGTATAGAAGTGCTGCCACCTTTGCTCTCCCTTGGGTCAGTAGGAGCCATCAACAGGTTTGTGATCTAGGATGGTTCATCCCCTGCAAAGCCTCTATCACATATCCCTTGCAAGGACAATGTGAAGTTTGCCCTTGTGTGGACATCCCCTGTGGAAGGACTGAGTGAGCATGCTGGGCTGGATTCTTCCTGGTGCTGAGGGCCAGGTTTGCAGGGGGGTTGGGATTCTTAAGGCTGTTACTAGGTATATGCTTGATCTGCCTAGGGGCTTCGGAAACCTCCACTGTGTGTCTGGTGGCAACTTCAGGTGCCTGAATACCTTTGCAAACCTGGCCAGGAGTGCAACAGCTGGAGTGCAGTGGGGTTGGGGGGAGGGGACAGAGAGGAAAAGCATTGGGAATAGCTGTAAAGTGAGTGATGTCGGGGAGCCCGCCCTCCCCTGCAAATCAGATAATGTATGAAGGTGGGCAGTGCTTGCTCACAGCTATTGTAAATTTGGGATTGCTCCTATTTCCTGAGTGGCAGAGTGGGTGAGTAATAGGGGGTGTATGTATAACAGTTACTATAAGAGGAATCTAAGCCTCACACTCCATGGCATAAATTGATCAACTGTGGGAGCTGGCAAGGCATTCTCCTCTGGCAAGGTACAGCACAGTCCTTCTTCCTCCAAGAGGAGGCTTGAGAGGAGGGCGATATGGTATGGCGATACCTCTACTCCATGCAACAGAACTTTGTGGGCTGGATTCATCAGTGCCCTTTGCACTGGCGAAGCTAATAATGGGACCCCAGGACAGGTGTTAAATGTTATTCTGGGGAATATTTCTGAGGCAGGGACCACTACACCCAGTTCAAGTTGGATCCATTGCTGTCCAGCTTCTTAGCCATGTCCAGGTTTGAGGGCAGGCTTAGCACGGAATAGGAGCAATCCCCACCGAGCCCTGCCAGATAAGAGGGGCCAAATTAATGCAGATCTTGGGGTCAAAACCTGCAAGGACCCCTGCAAGCTTCTGGGCAGGGTTGATGGAAACAGCATGGATTCCTGTCCTAAGCACCAGCACGAGGAGGAATCTGACTGTGGGACACTGCGTCTCTTGCAGTGGTACTGTTGTTAATTCGGTGCTTCTTCAGCATCCCTCCCTTACTGCATATGAATTATTTCTCATCTGCAGGTGTCTTTACCTGCAGAAGAGAAATAATTTGCTAAGGACAGTATAAAATAATCATAGGGTAAAAAAATCCCCATGTAGTTTCTGAGTAACACAGATGTTGGATGCTTTGCAGAATGAGCAGGAAACATCCAAGGTGGCTAAACATCTCTGGATCACATTCCATGGTAGGTTAAATGTAAATAGACATAGAGAAAGATATTGGGGCTTCTGACAGTCCTAAAATGAGAGAAAAATCCTGCTTAAAATAGTTAACACACATACACATCTCCCCTCTGATTCAAAGGGTGGCAACTGGTTTCATCTACATACAATGCATTCAGTAGCTGCCTTAGTAATATTATGTGTCTGGCTGTATACCTTAATTCCCTCCCCCTGGCCCCCATATTGTATACACGTGGGCTTTTGGGCTTGTTTAAATGTTACTAAGTGTGATGAGCCATTTTCACTGTCATTGTTAGAAGGTACTGTACTTTTTTTTCCTCATTGGTTTATTGAACTTCCATTACATAACTGTTCTTTTTCAAGGTCAACCTAAACCCTGACTCAGCTGAAAAATGGCATATCCTGAGAGAAGGGGTAGGTCAGAGGCCATTAAAGCATTACAGCTCAGAGTGATAGCTTGAATAACAATTTGGCATGTTGCGGTAACAGCTGCTTTCAGAAATAGTAATTTTAAGGTGTTTGCAGGTTCGGGGCATGGATTTTGCAACCTTAGCTAAAGTGTCCTGTGCCAACTGCATGTTTTGTGGAGACACAGCTGTATGTACAGGTGTGAATCCCAAGGTACTGAATACAGAACTTTTTTAAGGTTGTAGCTGAAGGATAAGAAATTTGCAACAAGTATTTTTCACCCTGGAAACCATGTACTTCATTTCCATGGTACTAATATCAGTTTAGACTTAATGTTGGCTATCATGTAAGGGAAAGTGTTACCATATTGTCTTGTATAACACACACCCTCCCCC